AGCCGCTTGCTCTGCGATCCCGGGGCGAGGGGCCCTGGGGACGGGGAGGTCCCTCCGGGTGTGGGTGTCTGGGGTCTCCAAGGCAGTCTGAGTCTGGAGGCCTCCTGCGTGCGACCTCTTCAGGGGTCTCTCTGGGGGACTGGGCCCTTCCGAGTGGTGCCCCACGGGCAGCTCCCCTCTGGGGTTTTCCCTGAAGGTCTGTGGTCCTCTGGGGCCACCCCGGGGGCTGGGCCTCCGTGAGGACCCCCTGCGGCCCATCTTTCTGTACTCTCTGCAGTCCCCACCCCTCCGGGGCTCCTACCTCGTAGCCCTTGAGCGATGGTCCCACGAGGATGATGGGCCTCATGGAGGGCACCACGTCATAGGGGGGCACATGCTCTGTCTGGGGGAAGTAGGGAGGGGAGACCCCAGAGTGGACGTGCGTCAGCCCCTCCCCAGCCTCTTCGCGCAGCCTTCCTCCCCCTGGTCCCAGGGATGAGGGCAGGCGGGGAGGGGTGGCCAGGAAAGGTGGGAACGGGTGTTAGAAGGTCCCCGGCTCACCCCGGGGTGGGGAGGAGACAGAGAAAGCTGTGACACTCACCAACTTCTGCTTCTGTTTGGCTGGGTCCCGAGATTGCCAGGAGAGGGAGGGGAGGACAGGGGAGGGTACCCAGGCAGGGCAGAGGGCACACAAGGAGCCCGGCCAGAAGGAGGGAGCGGGCAGACGAGAGAGATAACAGGGCATGCGTGTTAGTGACAGACACAGCAGAGAGGGGACGGGACCCCATGCCGAGGGCAGCCAGCGGTGGCCCCGGTCAGGGCTGGGTGCGGGAGTGGTGGCAGTCAGGGGGACTTGGGAATAGGCCCCCTCTGGCTTTTGAAAAGGAGCTGGAGAAAGTGGCAGCCCCTCCTTTGGTGCCCACCTCCTGTCCACCCTCAGGGCTCCCTCGACTGCCCGGCTCCAGGCCACCCCTGTGTCCACCCGTGGAGTCGCGGAGGGCAGGGGAGGGATGAGATGCCCTTCCTGCCCTCTTCGCAGCCGGAGGGGGGCACACGCCGACACCTGCCGTTCCACTGGGAGTGGGCGCAAAGGTCGGGCCACCTCAGCCGACCCGCAGGGCAGTGGGCGCCTTTCCAAGGCAGGAAGCACCCGTCCCCTCCCTCCCCCGGCCGGCAGGAGACCCGCTCCAGCCCCCATGCCCCGCCGCAGCTGTCCCTGACCCCCTCTTCGAGGACCCCGCAAAAATTACCTTCTTAAAGAAGGGGATGCGCTTGCCGTGGGGCGGCGGGGTGGTGACACTGCTAACACTAGTCTTGGCGGAGCCGCCCGGCTCCCCCGGCTCCATTTCGTCCTCCTCTAACTCTAGGGGGTCTAGCTCAAAGGCTAAGTTAGTCACCTCATTACCTGGACCACAGCAGGAGACGGGAGGATGGGGGGGGGAGAAAGAAAGAAGAAGAGGTGAACGGAACAGGGCCGGAGAAATGCAGGGCGGGGCGGGGCAGGCGGAGAGACGCAGCTGCCGAAGGAGGGACAGGGCAGACACGACAGGCCCAGCACGGGGTCCTAGCCTTCACCACTTCGTGTGCTGGGGGCTCAGAACTGGGGTGCCTCCTACTGCAGGAGATGGGGTCTGGCAGCGGGGAGCCACCCCACCCCACCCGCACCCGAGGCTGGCGGCAGCTCTTACCACTGGCAGGGGGTGTGGGGCGGCGGGCGCCAGTCACCACGTCTCCCAGGCTGGAACTGGAGTTGTCACCTGACTTGCTGTGTGGGCAGGAGGCAAAGGGAGCCGGTGAGAGCAGGTGGGCACCGCAGGCACAGGGGCGTCTTGTCCTCCCGCGAGCCGTGGCTTCGGGGGTTCTCCAGCGCCCCGCCCCCACGGACGCCCCGGGGATCTCTGGGCCCTCGGAGCCAGGGGTCCGGGCACCTGGAGCTGAGGCGGTTCTGGCGCAGCTTCTGCTCCTGCAGCAGCCGCAGGCTGTCCAGCTTGACGGGGCTGGGGATGAAGCCCACCTCGCAGCCCTCTTTCACCAGCCGTCCGATCCACCAGTCATTATTGTATTTCTGCAGGGGACAGTGCGGCAGGGGGCGCTGGGGGGGGGACCGGCACCGGCCGCCCTCGGAGAGGGAGAGGTGAGCATCACTGTCCCCTACCGCCCAGCCGGTGACAGGCAGAGGCATCAATGCGGATGCCCACGCGTTGCCCAAGGTCCCGGTCACGCCTAACCCTGTCTGCCAGGAGACCCCTCATTCACCCACGGCCACCCCTCCTGCACCCTCCCCGGGACCCCAGGCTCCGAGCTCTCCCACCTCCTTGATGTGCAGGAAGTCCTTGGGCTCGAAGGTGATGGCCACGCCCTGCACCGGCACCTCGTCCCCAGGAGACGGGTTGTAGCCCACATTTGTCCGCACGGCAAACGCCACAGGCTTGGTCTGGGGGACGGCAACAGGGGCCAGCGGGTTAGACCGCCGCCGTCTGAGTTGTAAATAGTTCTTGAAAGTGCACATGGAGCAGCGGCTGTGGCTTTCTGCGTGTTGACGTCTACAGTGGAAAGCAGATCTGCCCCTCGGCCCTCGGTGGAGCAGGGCGCGGGAGTTGTGAGTACTGGTGGGGGAAGCACCCCAAGTGACGTGCAGCGGGGACAACCCTAACACAGGCACACTGCTCCTTCCTGTGCCAAGTGTGACGTTACAAGCTTCCCATGTGTCACTTCATTTGCTTAGCACAAAAAGCCCCTGAACAAAGAACTCTCACGTTTGCCATCTTAGTGTACTTTTTTTTTTTTGGTACTGGGGATGGAAATCAGGTCCTTGCACTTTTGAGGCAGGCAGTGGAACCACTGGGCTAAATCTCCAGCCCCTTACTGTACTTTTTAAGTTTATTTATTTATTTAACTTTTGAGGCTGGGTATTGAGCCCAGGGAGCACTGAGCTACATCTCCAGCTCTTTTAGAGATAGGATCTTGTTAAATTGCCCAGGCTGGCCTCGGACTTGTAATCCTCCTGCCTCAGCCTCCCAAACAGCTAGGGTTGCAGGTGAGCACCACTGCACTTGACTTTTTTAAAATGTTCATGTGTGTATTCTGTCTCCCACAAAATGAATCCCAGAATTTTCCCTCCTGTATTTTCATTTTGCTTCTTTGTGGCCCGTGATGCCAGCTGCTAGTTAAGGTTGTAAGTACGATGAAATCCAACTCCAGGGATGGCAATATGTTTTTCTACCTTTCTCTCTTTTTTTTTCATTCTTTTGATTTTCTGAGACAGGGTTTTACTATGTAGTTTTGGCCAGCCTCGAACTCACAGCAATCCTCCTGCCTCAGCCTCCAGGGTGCTGGGATTATAGGCATGCGCCCACCATGCTGGGCTTCATTTTTCTTTTGTTTTTGTTTTGGAGACAGGGTCTCACTATGTTGCCCAGGCTGGCCTCAAATTCCTGCCCTCAAATGATCCTCTTGCCTCAGCCTCCCAATTAGCTGGAATTTCAACCAGGCAGCACTGCAACAAGCTGTCTGCACATCAAATCTGGCCATTCCACACATGTAGAACACACATGTGGGGCTCCCACCAATTTCCGGCTCTGTGACCATCAGTGATTTCGAATTTGTCAATGAGACCACACTTCAATACTACAGTCAGAAAGCAGATGGTGCCGATGGCCAATGACAACCTGGCCTCGGCCTCTCTTTTCACTGCTCGTGAAAAGAGATACTCCCCAGAGTAACAGCAAGGACACGCAAGTGTCCCATTACGGTGGCATGGAAACTGGCCCAAAAAGCTATCTTTCTTTTAATGAATGAGGTGCATTACAGTTGTTAGAAACAAGGTTACTTGCCTAACCTCACACAGACACTAAGAGTCAGGGCTGGGATTCCAGCCTCGGGAATCTGGTTCCAGGAAGAAGTGGGCATTTCGGCATTTTCGGGCTCCTGGACACGTATGTGTGGGTGGTGAGGCAGGTTCCCCAGCTCAGGATTCACAGGTGCAGGACACAGGAAGTGGCTGGACAGAGATCCGTCCTGGCCTGTCCGGCCTCCCCGCAGCCCTCCTTCCTCACCTTGGCTTTCTCAAGCTGGGCCAATGCCTGTCGCTCTGCCTCCTTCCTTAAGGCTTCTCGGTCTTCCTCCAGAGACACGTCAGAATCGGATGGACGGCTGGTATAGGACTCCGCCGAGCCCTGAAAGACAGCAGCACAGCTCAGGCCCAAGGTCCCCACCCACCCCGGATGCTCCAGCCTGCCCAGCACAAGTCCACAGGCCTGGAGGAAGGTGCTGTGGGGAGGAAGGGTCCGGGAGGAGGGCGGCCCTCTGGGTGACAGCAGTGAACCGGGGTTAAGACGGATGGGTCCAGGAACAGCTGCTCAGCCCCGGGAGGGGTGGGAACCTGATAGGGCACAGCGCAGGGAGGAGTGCCAGGGGGCTGTGTCCTGCCCTGATTCTCCTGCCCTGCCCTGCCCCCAGCGTCATGGAGCCCTCCAGAGACCAAAGCCACCCGTCCGGGCCTGCTTCTCCCCACTAGGACTGAGCCGGAGGGTGAGAGGGAAGACCCCTACATCCCCACCCCTCTGACTGGTACCACCAGAATCAGGCCCCCCCCTCAGAGCCAACCCTGGGGCTGGGATAAGACACAAAGAGAACTAAGAGTCACAGGGGGGTGAGGGCAGGAGGCAAGCCAGCAGCAGGACACCGAGGCCTTGTCGCAACACCTGGGCCACCAGGCACTGCATAAGGGCTGCTCGGAAGCTGGCTATGCCAGGACGCTGGGCTTGACCACCTGGACCAACCTGGGGAAAAGGTCTCCTTTAGGATCCACATGTTAGCAACATGTGGGAGACAGGTGCGGCCAGGTCACCAGCACACCAGCGCCTGTGTCAGGGAGGCTCCATGTCTCTGCTGGCTGCGTCCCTGAGGGTGCAGGCCCAAGAGTGCAGGGCACAGGAAGTGTGCGTTTGTGTGTGACTTCCGAGGTGGTGGCATGGGTCAGGGGAATGTCGGGGAGCAGCAATATGTCAGAAACGTGGGGGACCTCTCTGCAAGGCACAGGAGAATCACCTGGCTGGGAACGTGCACAGGTAGGTAGAGAGGGGATCCAAGGTAGAGAGATGACAAAGTTTCACCTCTTCTAGCGGCCTCTGGTTGCACCCTGGTGCAGTGCCCAGCCCTTTCCCAGACAAACTGTGAAGATGTCAGTGTGGCAGGGGAAGGGTGGGCAGGTCTGGGGTTCCCAACAGAAACTGGAAAAGATGCACACAGCAAAGAGGACAGCAGCCCAGCCTCCACTGTCCCCTTCCCACCAGAAGCACTCAGTCAGGGGGACAGACACCCAGAGAGGCTAGAGACAGAGACCGTGGGCAGAGAGGTGCTCATGGGCCCCAACACACCCGCTGACACACACACACGCGCATGCACACGCACACGCCAGGGGACGGGCTGGCACAAAGTCCCCCCACCAGCTTTTCTGAGGGGCTGTTTTCCCCAGCCCTGCTTTGCCCCGTCCCAGCTCACCGCCATGAGGGTCTGACTGGGCGCCTCCATTCCGGTGCCCTCAGTGCCTGGGCCTGCTGGCCTAGGGGTGGCCCAAACTGCCTGTTCCCCCAGGGGCTCAGGTTACAAGCAGAGTTGCTACATGTGCAAACTGCTGGGGTATATTTAGCTCGGAGATGTGGCAAGGGCGGCCCCCCCACACCCGCCACCCACTGGGGGTCAGAACTGGGAGCCGAGAGGAGGAAAACTGGAGGCTGGGGTCTGACTCCCTGGCTTGGGAAACACTAAAAGATCCAAGGCCCAGAAGGGAAGACTGTGCCGAGAGGGGAGAGAAAGCATAGCCTCCCGCTTCCAAGCCGTGCTGCTGGTCCAGGTCTGCAACAGGAGGGACAAGGGAATGAGGGAGGAGGGACTTCCTGTCTGTGTCCTTAGGAGATGCTGGATGCAGGCCTCTTCCTGGATTGTCCAAGCCAGGCCTGGACCTGCAGGTGCCAAGTGCAGAGACAGAAAATCCAGAAAGAAGGGCCTCACTGCAATCAGTGGGAATGGACCTGGCCCTGCCCTCTCTCCTGGCCCCGAGGGCTCCCCTACCTACTATCCTCTGTCCTTGTGTGCCCTGCCTCTCTCCTCTGTCGCCCACTTCTTTCCCTGCCAAGCCCCTCCTTTCCCAAGCCCCTCGCCTTTTCTGGTTACCAGGCTTGGTTGAGATGCTCTGTAGCCATGGTAACTGCATGTCTCCCTGACTGCCTCTCCCTGAACCTAAGATGGCCCGGGTTGAGTTAGAAGACACAGGAGAGCGGAAGCTTCAGGGCTGGTGGGGGCCGAGCACAGGAGCCCCAGAAAGCTATGCTCTGGTATCTCCCCAATGAGGGGTACTGGGCTCAGATCCCCTTTAAAATACAACATTCCCTGCTCGCTGATCCCACCTTCTGTCTGCACATGACACAGTCACATTTGGAAGTGAGGAGCATGTGTCCCTGCCCCATGCTTGGCCAGGGCTCTGGGAACCCAAATGTCCCAGCTCCTCATTTCTTCACACCTGCCTCCACCCCACCCTGTCACAGATTCCGGGGGAGGATGTGGAAGCAGACAGCCGGCAGGGGGAGTGGGTGACAGCCCGAAGCAAGCCAGGAGGAGGCGGGCCAGGCTGTCCCTGAATGAAATGACGCAGGCAGCAGGCGGCGGGGTGGCAGGGGCTGGTGCAGGAGGAGGCGCTGGTTGGGGCGGGGGCTGAGGCAGTGGGTGCAGCTGACAGCACATCCTAGAGAGGTCTGGAGGTGTCAGGGTGTTGGGGCGGTTCCAAGCAGGTGACAAATGACATGGGGAAGGGTGCCTGGAGAAAGCTGCGGGCCAGCTCACCAACGTTGGCCTCCACCAGCAGCCACCTCCCTCCTCTCGGCCCAGCCTCCCATTACCTGGCGGACGAAGCTGTTGGATGTGGTATCCGAAGATGTGCTCCCGTCCGAGCGTTTGAACCGTCCTTTCCTCTTGCTGTATTTGCCCTGGGGATGACAGAAAGGAACTAGAGTGGCATCCGAGAGGACCTTTCCCAGCCCTCGTCCCACCAGGGCTGGGGTACAGCTGGGCCTCTGGATCCTCATTCCCGGGTGTGCACAGCCCCACCCCCACCCCCTGCATCTTCCTCAAGAGGCAGGGTACAGCCACGGGGAGGGAGGGCCTCCCAGACCTCAGCCCCGAGCTAGGGGGCACACACGGGAGCCCCTAAGCTGCACCAGAGGCTGGGAAGGGGGAGGCCCAGGAAGCAGGAGCTCTCTTCTTAGGCAGCAAAGCTAATTAAGATGCTGGGCAGGCTGCAGAGGCCTCCCCGGGAAGGGGGAAGGGGGAGCTGCCCGAAGTGCTGGGGGCGCGGAGGACAGGGCCAGGGAAGGCCCCTCCCACTGCTGCTGGACTTTCCCCAAGCCAGAGTCCTCGCTTTCCAGAGTGGGGAGGGGATGGCAGCTCCCAGCTCTCCGACACCCAAAGCTGGATTTCTGGGGAGGAGGCCCAGAGTATGGAACCTGTTTGAGAAGTAAACACTGAACCCCAACCGTGGCCTGGAGCCATGGGGCAGACAGCACTCCTCAGCTCACCTCCAGCCAGCCAGGATTTGTCCTGGGCCCCTCCTCACATCATAGTGGCCACACCCTCCGTTCCCTCCTTGGGGACCCACTCTAGGCCCCCAAGTGCCCACGCTTACACCCCCTCCCATGGTATCAGCTGCAGCTCCAGCAATCTCGGGCCCGCAGGTCCCAGGGTCAGGGTGGCTAGCATGGCTGCGTTCCTGGCCCAGATGGGGTGAGTCGGGTGAGCTGTGCTTCGCCCAGGTGAAGGCCTCCTCTTTGGAGGCTGCTGCCTCTTTGCCCTCCACACTCTCTGACACACTGGCCTGGCCTGGCTGGAACGGGTGCAAGATGGAGGGAGGGCTCAGCCCTCCAGGCCTGGCCCCAGCCTCCACCCCAGACTTTCTTTGGCCATACAACCTAGGTGAGGCAGAGCAGTCTGGCTCCTGGGACCCGGGTAGGAGGAGGATGGATAATGGGACCAGCAGGCACTTGGGGGCCCTTTCCAGCCCTTTCCTCCTCCCAAAGTGGTCGCACCCCCACGCCAGTTTTGAGGCTCCCTACACACCTAGCAGGCTCCTGCAGCAACCCTCACACTCCCCCCCCAAAGGGAGTGGCGCCCAGAGGGACAGGGGACAGCTGAAAGGAAGGCCCTGGTCAGCTGCCTGCCAGACTCCGAGGGGCCTAGGGTGGAGGAAGCGGATATTTTTAGGTCTGATCTTACCCCCTACACACCCAGCTACCACGGTACCACGGTGGGTGCAGTTGCTTCGGGCTGGCCACAGCCACACAGGAGTTAATGCTCTCCTTGGGAAGGACGTGTCCCACAGAAATCCCCTGGCACGACCACCCTAAAGGGGGCTGGTTGATCCGGGGAACCGCCACGGGGAATAAAGCCCCTACCCATGCCAGGGGCATGGGACCGGGAGTGGAGGAGTTCAGACCCCTCCCCAGGCAAAACAGCTCCCAGCCCTCCAGGACAGGGGGCTGGCATCCCTCCAACTTTCCAAACTTCGGAGGTGTTTTCGGGGGCTGGGGGAGGGGTACGCCAACCTGGGCGCCGGGAGGAGGGGAGCCGGAGCACAACGGGCATGGGTGACAGACGGGGGCTGGCAAGGAGGCCTGGTCCAGGGCTGCCCCTGCCCCATCCGCGAGAGCAGAATCTGTGGCTGGCAGGGCCTGACGGCACCGCCC